ATGGCAATATGAACAGTTAGCACAGTCCATCAACAGGGAACTGCTAGATAGTAGAGCCCGATTTATAAGTGGACATGGAACAATATTGCTAATATTATATGGATCTTGGCTGAAAGAATAGTTACCTCTAGTTTATTGGCTACATAAAGGTATGTAGTGGTGTAAATCATAGCAAATTGTGCATATTACAAAGAATTAAAATTCCAGAACACTTAATTGTGCTCATGTGGAACCTGTGAAAAGACCAAGAGGCAGTCGTTTCGGTGGAACACGGGGATATTGCATGGTTTAAAATCAGGAAAGTTGTATTTCAGAAATGTATTCTTTCACCATACGTAGTCAATCTATATGCTGAGTAAATAATCCAAGAAGCTGGACTGTATAAACCAGTGGCATCAGGATTGGAGGAAAATTTAACCAGTGATATGCAGATGATAAAACATTGTTTCTGCAATCGAAAGGGACTCCAATCACTCACTGATGAAAATCAGTGTAGGTTACACTTTAACATAAAAAAAATTCTCACAACTGGCCAAACAGCAACATTATGGGAAATGGAGAAAAGATGGAAGTTGTCAAGTATATCATCTACTTAAAACAATAATCAACACTCATGGAAGCAGCAGTCAAGAAATCAATGATGTATTGCCTTGAGTGAAAATAATGCACAAAGCCTCTTAAATAAAAGTGTTAAAAGGCAAAGATAACACTTTGAGGATTAAAGCGCCTGACCCAAGCCATGGTATTTTCAGCTGCCTCATAACATCCTATTCTTTGCACACACACACACCCTCCAATTAATGTTCTTCCCACATGCAAAATACATTTACCCCATCACGTTGTCCCAGAAGTTTTAAATCAACTCCATTTCAAAATCTCATCTTCTAGCTCATCAAAACCAAATCTGCTTGAGAATTTATGCATATTCCAAACTGGAGAAAATTTCCTCGTAATCCTTGAAACCAAGATTACAAATGACCTGTTTGAAAAGTACAATTTTAGAACTGTGACAAAGTAGACAGGTGCATTACAAATTGGAAAGAAGAGTTAACGAGCTTCAAGCAAATCCATACCCAGCAGAACAGTTTACATTAACTCTCAAAGCTTGAACATCATCCTCTGTTCTCTTCAGCCATTTGGGAAAGATCCTGGACTCTACGTATTGGCTACACATTGGACTTGGGGTAGAGACTCCTCAGCCCTGGCCTTCAGCTCTGTCATCCAAGTCCATTGGGATGGTAACTCTGCTCCCTCAATTCTGCAAAAGTGATCCCATGCTCCTGGGTCATATAAGTACTGTCCTCACACCCTTAGGCCCAAAAGGGCCCATTTTTCTGCCCCTTGGGCATGGAAGCCTTTCCCCCTCAGCTTTGGGTGGCATCCCCCCACACTGCAACTGAGTTGGCAAAGATCTAACATTTTTGTATCCTAGAGACTGCAACCCTCCCCTTTTAGACCCAGGAGACCATGGCCAGCCACATTATTAGAAACCTGCTTTCTGCATCCCTTCCAATAGTTTTCTTGATCTCTGACCTACTCCAGGGATGGTCCTTTTCCTTTCTTGGAAGACAACAGATGTACCACTTTTGGTTTTGACTTTTGTAAGTCTATCAACAGTCGCTTCAAGACAACCTAGGCTTTTGCTATTCAAAAAGAAAAAATCAAACACTGCCATAGAGTCGATTCTGACTAAGGCAGCTTAAAAATCTCCCAGCCTCTACTATTCATCCCAAAACTGCGTTCACATTTTAGCTATCGTTTGAACAGCACCCTACTCTGCTGATAAAGAAGGGGGAAATCGGACTTAGCTATCTAGTGCTTCTACAACAGTGGGGGACTTTAACAAACAGAGAGTGGTGTTCTCACAATGTAACGGCTAGAAGTCTGAACTCAGCTGTAGGGAAAGTTTTTTCTTTCAGCCCTGGAGGAAAGTTCTTGTCTCTTCAGTTTCTGCTTCCTGATTCCTTGGATATCTCCATGTATCTTGGCATCTGTCTTACGCCTTATCTCCTTCTCTTGTTTGCTTCTTTAATCTCTCTTGCAACTCAAAAGAGATTGAGTTAGGTGTTGAAGATACCTAACAGCGACACTGATACTATCTTGATAATAACAAGTATGATAACTATAGGCATAGCAGTTAATCTTTACAACACGTGTCTTAGGGGGACACAATTCAAGCCATGTCACTCCACCATGTGTGAGAGCGGGACAATGCATAAGGAAGACAGAAGGAGAATGGATGCCTTTGGATTATGGTGGTGGTGAAGAATATTGAACATACCCTGGACTGCTAGAAGAATTATTAAATCTATCTTAAAATAAGTACAACCAAATTGCTCCTTAAAAGCAGGATGTGAGCGCTGTCTCAGATACTTGGATATTTTATCGGGAAATAATAGTTTTGGAAAAGACATCATGCTTGATAAAATAGAGGCTCACTAAAAAATAGGAAGACCCTCATTGAAATACACTGAAGCAACGGCTGCTACAATGGACTCCAACCTAGCAAGAATGATAGAACAGCAAAGGACCGCTCAGTGTGTGTTTCTGATGTACATAAGGTTGCTATAGCGGGAATTAATTTGACAATATCTAACAACCATTATCACAATAACTGATGATCTTTAGAGAAACTCCTTGTTGACAATAGAAACCTAGAGCAATCACAGTTGAAAGGACGTTGACATTGATAATGGTTAAATTTCTTGAAGGAAGAAAGGCACAAGTGCTTGAAGTAAACAATTCTGGAAAAATTCTAGACACAATAAGAGATTCTGTGAGTCCTTACTCCACACTTCAGAAATATAGAAAATGTAATTGTAGTCACTTTTACAGCTTCTTTTTTTCCTTTTTATTTGGAGATGGAAAGAGGTAGGAAGGCACTAATCAAGAAAACTCTGTTTACTTCCATAGATGATTAAATAAAAGAGAGAGGTCCTCGAAGTACAAATAGTGGTCCTAAAAGAGAGGAAAGATGATCAGATTTTTTTACATTATTTAAAAAGCACTTACTTTTAGTACTTTTTCAAAATTTGCTTATAATTATTATTATCTCAAAAGACAGTGTTTTTAAAGCATATTGAATAAAGTTTCCTCTCACAGTACACCTGTTAAATAGTGTACTGTGTAGTGAATATTTTGTTTACTATATTTCTATTCTTTTATTATATAACTCTTGTCAAAATTCTTGTTTAATGTTATCTGTATTTAATATGAAGATGTCCTGACAGACATAGGAAAACAATTATAAACATCCACATCCACGCTAACTACATGGACACAAATATCTTTTTTGGTCTAGATATATGATCTACTGAATCAATCATTCAAGGTTGTAGAGGCGCACAAAAAATACGTTCTTCTAAAAATGTTAGTTCTTTGCTTCTTGGAACGTCATGGCATTCACCTAAGCATGCAACTCCTGTGATTACCCTAATGATCTCAGGATGTTTCACTGTCAAGGGTTTTGTTTCCAAAATACCCTGCCTGGTCCAAAAGTAGGAGAGTTAAGCATAGTAGCTTTTATTGCATACTGTCATATCTTAAAACCCCTCAATTAACATGTAAAGGTCCTCTGAAAATATCATTTGGGAGAGAATATTATGGAGTCCTAAAATAAGTGATCCATTCTCCTCCCGGCCCCCCCCCCCTTTAATCTCTGTTTCACATAAATTAAAACTTAACCATCTTTTGGGGAGGATGTGTGATTTCAAGCTATTAAGGTGAGCTGTGTAACCAAGGAAAGTCAAAAGTGTGAACTGAGTCATACACAATGTAGCCTGCCCCAGTGACCTATATTGTACTATGCATTGTACTTATGCCTGGTTTTTAAAACAAATTTTGTTTATCTGTACAAAAGTACCGGCATGATATAAAGTAGCTGTAATGTGCCATTTTCATTGTCCAGCGATACTCGTTAAAGTTACAGAACAATGGATCTATATAAATATGCAAAAACTGTTTTTGTACTGGCTAAAATGATTTCTTGCCATGTGAAGATCCAGTCCATTTTGTGATCATTATCTCTGGTTTTCAATTGCACTTAAACTCTTACTTCTAATGTGTTCATTGTATATGTGGCTAATCCATACAGTCTGTGAGAGAAAGGTGAAAATGAGTGAATTATAGCTTCACTCTAGAATAATTTCATGAACCACATGATCAATGTTAGGTGCTGTTAAGCTTCGAGTTGGGAGTGCTCTAAAGTTATTGCATCCTGATATATTGCTTAGGACAGAATATGCATTATCTTAGCTTTTAGAACAACAATTAAATGCAGGCACAGAAATCAGATCTATAGATATGCAACCAACATTATTTTAAACTAGGATAAATGTGTGTGCCTATAAAAGTGAAATAATTATTGTGTCAATGTGGTCAGCAAACTTTTGAAGATGTACCATAAAATGAGTTTGAGAAGACAGTTTGTTTTTTTATTTACAAGAAAAAATATATTTTCTTGGAAAATAATTTTGAATTCGACTTTCATAGAACATGTTAAAGTACTTTGGTCTGAGCATTTTTAGCATTCTGATAACCTAAAAGTATGGTTTGTCTTTTGAATGGAAATGATGAGATATTTTCTCATGTATCAGTCAAAATATGTGTAAGCAAATTCTTTTGAGAAGATTTTTTTATTATCCTTCCTTTGGAGGTATTGGTGAGATTCTGATAAAGTACATTTAACTTGGACTTTCTTACTGTGAGATCAATCTCCCCATTACACACCACTGCGTATTTTTTAAGTAGCTCTTAGGTGGTTATACTACAGGAAAAGGTGAGTTGGGAACTAAGGGGAAAACGCTATGTACGTAATTGTTTATATTTGGAGATGCAAAGGATTCTTTCTGTGTTGAATAACATGCCTCTTGATTTCAGTCAAGTTCAGAAATTTAGCAGAAGTAGATCATTTTAAAATAACTCTGTGTCATTGTTGTTGTTGTTGTTGTTGTTGTTTTGTGTGTTGTGTGCGTATGTATTTTCTTTTTCATTTTAACCAGCCTCTTATACCTAGAAGTCCCACAAGCAGCGTTGCCACGCCTTCCAGCACCATCAGTACACCCACCAAAAGAGACAGTTCTGCCCTCCAGGACCTCTACATCCCCCCTCCTCCCGCTGAACCGTACATCCCCAGGTACAAAAGTAACCATAATGTTGCTCTGGTCCGCTTCTGTCTAAAGCCTAATTCAACGAACAGTGGAGAAACTGTGAAGTCACGACCCAAATGAATATGTTCTCAGGAATTCTGAGCACCTTCTGGAAAGTCATTCCAGTATGAATAATGTACTCTGTGAACAATTACAGTAATTAATTTGTATGAAACATGAACTATGTGTAACTCTCTTATACCCATTTTTTTCTCAAATAATAGGAGAGGAGTGTGAAATAGTAGCTGCAGTTATTTTAGCAAGTAATAAATAAGTGAGGCCCTTTGACTAAGAAGACCCAGGGCATCACAGTGTACTTTGAAGCATTTCATGCTCTTTGAAGTAGGAAAGTTATAGACAATGTCTATGCTTTCTTAAGTTGATATGGTCCAGATCGTTTTTCTTTCTTTTTCTTAAAGATGATAATAGAATTTTGTTTCTCTAATATTTCTGCATCTAAAATTTCGATTTCCTTAGTTCATTTTTGTTTCAGAAAGTAGGGAAAGTTTGCAAGAGAATATATTACCATTTGAAGTCTGTTTTCTTGAGGCTATATCTTAGTTTCATTTCCAGTCTCCTATTTGAAATTCCTGGCAGGCCCAGGAGAACATGACTTTGTTTGTAATGCATTCTGTCCAAAGGCATTCTTTTAACTAGTCTTGTGGAATACAAACATTGTGGGAAAGGCTTAGCACTAAATAGAGATAATTAGTACCAGTAACAAAAAAATTGACTCAGTGTTGAAATTAGTAGTGCAGTTATTTCAAAGCAGTCATTTAGGTCCCTTCTTTCTAAGTGCCATACTTAATATTAAATTTCTTCTGTGTGTATAATTACTGAAACATTTTATGTCTAATCAATTTTTATTTGCTTCACTTTAGAGCCCCTACATTTCCAGAAAATCTTTTTCTATTGTATATGATAGTACTGATATCTTACGTGCTGAATACTACCTGGCAATATGACCTGTCTGCAAATACTATGTTGTTATCTAGTAATAAAACTATAGTCAGTTTTATACACATTTCTGTCCTGATTTTTGAGATTTAAATGTAGCTATGGAAACATGTTTATGAGAAGATGTCATTTACTAAACTAGCATTCTATAAAATATTCTAGTATATAATTTATAGCCATAGGTTCAATTTGCAATCAGAATCACACATCCATCCAATATCCTAGTAAAACTAAAGTTGCATTTACTCTAGGAAGGTAATGTCTAGCGTCCTCAGTACTCCTGTACAAGGAACAAGGAAAGTATGTGTGCTTTAAATAGGATGGAATGCTTTGGGAGGGTTTTTACTTTAATCGAGAAGATTTATATTCAAGTGCAAATGATTGTTTAAAGAGCCTTATTCTTCAGAGAGAACCCGAGGTTGCACTTTGGGGTAAGCATTGGACTACTAACTCCAAGGCTGTCAGTTCAAACCCAATAGCAATTCCATGAGGAGAAATTTGTGGCTGTCTGCTCTTGCAAAGATTTACAGTCTTAGACCACAATATACATTCCCTACAAGTTAGGAAAGACTTGATGGCAGTGGGGTTGGCTTTTTTTCTTGCTATTTTTCTTTTTATTACTATTCAGAATCATATATATATATCTCAAAAGGTTGTTTTTATCAAATTTCTGAATTTTAAAAAATATTTTTTCTTTAGCCTTAGAGGGAGAGGAACTTATGAATAATGTTTCTTAGAGGGAGAGGAACTTATGAATAATGTTTCTTAGAAAAAAATTTAAATATACTTAAGGGTAAAATGATACTGCTTGTCTTCTGGGTACATTGTGCTGAGTTTAGTCAATCAAAAAACACAAATATCATATGAGACCACTGTTATTAAAAAAATCAGGAAAAGATTTTCATGCCAAAAGAAGCAGCCTTTTATGGATGTCAGGTGTGGTAGGTGAAATGTGGGTAGGGTAAGTCAGGCTAGAGCAATGGTTCTCAACCTGTGGGTCGTGACCCCTTGGAGGGTTGTCGAACGACCCTTTCACAGGAGTCACCCAATTAATAACAATAGCAAAATGACCGTGAAGAAGTAGTAACCAAAATAATTTTATGGTTGCAGGTCACCACAGCATGAGGAACTGTATTAAAGGGTCACGGCTTTAGAAAGGTTGAGAACCACTGGGCTAGAGAGTAGACAGGTGTTAACTTGGGTGAAGAGGAAGATAATATCTTGCAAGAGGGAAACGGGCAAAAATTAGAGGAAATAGAGCAAGACAGTGGGGGGGGGTGTTGATGAGCTGTTGACTGTAAAACTGATTATCTGCTCTGTAAACCTTTACCTAATTCACAATAAAATGATTTTTTTTTCATAAAACAAAAATTGTACTAGAGAACATGAGAGGTTCAAATATCAAAATGGTGATCTTTGTTTTACCAGCAAGACTTGAAAGCTTCGTACTTTTGGGTAAAGTTCCTAATTACTGTTTACTATCTTGCTTTATGCAGCACTGATAGAGTAGTGGTTTACTCATTGAGGTGATAACCACAAGGTCAGTGGTTCAAACCACCAGCTGCTTCCCAAGAGAAAGATGAGGCTTTCTCCTCCCATGAAGATGTACAGCCTCGAAAAGCAAAAGAGCAGTTCTACTCTGCCCTGTAGGGTCTCTATGCGTTGTAATCAACTCAGTTGCACCTGGGATCTTGTTTTCTGCAAATTGATTTTTAGTTGATCTTAGGGTGTAATTTAACAGAATATTCAAAATATATTTTCCCTCATTATTAGTTAGCAGGTTACACAATCATTTGTTATAGCATAATCAGAACAGTTCATTCATCGAAGAAGCCGCAGCCTTATATTTAGTCTGGATTTTAAGCTTATAAATGCCTTCTCATTTTAAAAAATGGTAAGATTAGTTCTTAAGTTTAGTAGAATTTTCTCCATGTAATTACAGTTCTGTGAGCATATTTATTCCAGGAAGAGTCGTGGTCACAAAAGCCAAAACACTTAAGTTTTTGAAATGAGAGAATTATTTTGTGACTATATACAGTTGCCATAGATCATAATATATAGTGCATGCAATCAAATTCCTTTTTTATTATACAAATGAACAGTATAATATAACTCTTTTCATGCCTATGAAGCTCAAGCATTAATTTATTTATTTGCTCTATTGTGTGCCTTTAACTAATAAAGCACTATTCTTTTCATCTTTTACCTTAAAACTTTAATAAATAAAAACCTAGATTATTACGTTGGCAAATGTATAGCATTAATTTTTTTTAAAGAACTTTGTAACGCAATTAATGAATATTTAAAAAATCTTCAGGGAATCATGATATGTATGTATATACAACACATTTATGAATTTATTCAGCTGCTTGGGGTTTGCACTTTCTTTAATTCACCTTTATCTGACGGTGTTTCATGTAGAGATGTTTAATTTCATCTGCCAGAGTTGGTATAAGGCTCATCGACTGCCTGCTTAGCATTGGGCCCTAATCACAGGGTTAGTGGTTCAAACCCAGTAGCCTCTCCTCAGGAGACAGATGAGGCTATCTGCTTCTAAAAGATGTATAGTATTGGAAACCATATATAAGGTCTCTATGACTCTGAATTGACTGAAGAAGTATGGGTTTTGTTGTTGCTGCCGTTTCATATCATAATAAACACTACCAGCACTTGCAGCTTTCTACCACAAGGTATGTCCATATAAATAGAGCATGGTGAATTAATCACCCTCTGATCTCAGCTGCATTGACTTCAGGCTTCAGAGAGACACCTGCCCACTTACAAATAGACATTAACTTTGTGCCAGTTGCCACAAATGCCTTACAGCTCTTTGCAAGCAAATTGCAGTGTGAATTTCTTTTTGACTACGGACTAACAGTAACAAAAAAGACCAAGGAATTTGTTCAGAAAAAAGTTTTCAATGAAATAAATTAAAAAATTCTGCCTTTGTACTTTCTGAATGCTGCTTAAGAACTAGCTCTGTAGTTATAATGGGATAATCAACAATGCTTTCATTTTAAAAATATAAAGAGGACATGGAAATGCAAGTGGCAACTTCAACTTGCAATGAGTTAGACTGACTAGTGTACCACATAGTACATATTTCAAATAATAGGAATATAGTTCTGTACATTTGGCGAGCCTATTTAGGGCGTGAGAGAGAGAGAGAGAGAGAGGGGCAGCCAGCCAGCCAGAAGATACTGAGATACTTACTTACTTTGATATTTTTACCAGCTCATTGCTATCTTCATATGGAATAACAGGACTTAATTGATTGGGAGTTTGTTCTTTTTACCTGTGTCTTGTTATAATGCGGGTTTTTTTTCTATAGATATAAGAGTTCAACCTTAGAACATAATATAAAATTAAGTATTTTTCAAGTTTCATTATATTCATGGCATGTTTCGGATAACTGGAAACCATTAAGAGCTAAAAAGAAATCTAAGTAATAACAGACAAGGGAAGAAACAGATTTAATTTATATGACTACTCATGTTCCAGAAGACAAGACTTTCTAACATTTTTATAAGTAGTGAACCAAAAACTAAACAAAGGTCCCTTTAACCAATCGTAAATAGAATATTTCTATCAAAATACCACAAAATTTTATCAAAATATCCCCAAATACCAATTACGAGGTATAAGTAATAGGTTTTACAGATCCTATGTATTTTTTGAGAGTTCTTGCTGTAGAATCCTGTAGAACAGCGGTTTTCAACCTGTGGGTCGGGACCCCTTTGGGGGGTCGAATGACCCTTTCACAGGGGTCACCAGATTCATAACAGTAGCAAAATGACAGTGATGAAGTAGCAATGAAAATAATTTGGTGGTTGGGGAGTCACCACAACATGAGGAACTGTATTAAAGGGATGCATCATTAGGAAGGTTAAAAACCACTGCTGTAGAACAAAGAAACTTGTCACTCCCCTAAATTCCATATTTCATGCTATTCCATCTTCTTTCTATAAGAATCATGGGCATATAATGCAATGTTGATACTTCCATTTAGAGTGAGTTCTGTGAAAATCTCTTCTTTTACTTTTAACTGAGAAACAGAGACTTTGAATACTAAGGCTAATTATTGACATTAAAATTTATTTTAAATTAATAGCAGTGTTGTTTGAAATTCTTACAATACCAGTTTACATTAATGCTAATTTGTTTCTTATGCCTGTAGTACCCCATACAGAGGCTATAGTTCCAAAGTAAATCGTTGTTTTTAAGCCAACCCCAAATCAAATCCACTGGCATCAGTGTGTTTTGATTCATAGCAACCCTGGATAGGGTTTCCAAGGCTGTAAAAGCAGACAAGCTCTCTTCTCTCTCACGGAGCAGCTTGTGAGTTTGAAGTGCCAACTGGTAGAACAAAGCTCATTTAACACTGTTAATTTAACAAAGCTAATGTAACATTGTTAATACCACTTTAAAGACCAAAACCAAGTTTATATGCTATGATGATTTTCATTTACGACAGAATAAAAGCACATTGACTAGAAAAAACAGTTGAAAGTCCATGGCCCATTACTTCCCATTTTTAGCTGTGTGACATTTAGCCCTATCATTTAACCTGTCTGAACCCTAGCATTTTTTTCTCCTAAGTAGGAATAATTACAAATTTTTCCTATAACCCTCCTTTGAAAGTTGAAAAGATTAAAAGATAGTGTGTTTGGGAATGATTCTGTTATTTTAGACACTAAAATGAACCCTAACTTTTTCTTACCTCCTCCTTTACGTACCCTTCCATAGAGATGAAAAGGGAAACCTTCCCTGTGAAGACCTCAGGGGGCACATGGTGGGCAAGCCAGTACATAAGGGATCGGAATCACCAAATTCATTTTTGGATCAGGAATATCGAAAGAGATTTAATATTGTTGAGGAAGATACTGTCTTGTATTGTTATGAATATGAGAAAGGAAGATCCAGCAGTCAAGGAAGACGAGAAAGCACACCAACTTATGGTAACTATGCACTCCTCTTTTAACATTTATATAAGAACGTATTTCTGGCACAAAAGTCTGTATTCCCCTTCATAGGTGTTGGACTGTGAGAATTACTTGATAGCCTTTGAATTTTTATAACGGATCTGTGTCAGTCTTGTGCTTCTACATGGAATCTTAACAGTCTGAGGCATGAAATTAGAAATCATCCTAAGTTTTCCAAAGATAAGCCAAGATAATAGTAACAATTGAGCTCATTAATGATTAAATGAAAATCTTTTTAGAGTCACATGTACTTTTTTGTGTGTCAGATGTTTCCAAAATGGAATACGTAATTCAAAGGTTTTTTTGTTGTTGTTTTATACAATGAATAATTCCTGTTAACATGACTTCTTTAAAATAAATTTGTTTCCTTATTCCTTGGGAATGTTTTTAAATCTTAAAATTAGATACAGTTTTCTGGGAACTGAATTTTTATCTTTTTTAAAGAAGCTGTAAAATGAATTTGATATATATGAGTAGGAAGGTTGACATTTTAAAGAGATGGACATGTTATATACTAGACAGAAATGGGCCTAGAATTGCCATATATCTAGGATTTTTTATATTTAACAAAAAATTACCCAGTCACAATACTTAAAAACAACATAGTGTTTCTGAAAGATTTGCAAATACAGTTGCCTAAAGTCAAAGTAGGAAAGCTTGTGATAGAATTCTAAAATGATAGCATTTGGAAGTCCATGCTCCGTTTTTTTCCCATGAGGCACTAATATATACTGTGGGGAAGAACAGGATTCCCTCCTTATTAGTCCAGACTTTGTCCAGTGGCAGCTGAGCAGACAAAAAGTTGTTAAAACGCTCCATACCTCAACTTGATCATCATGGCCCTTTACCTAGCTCCTGTGACACCAAAAATAACAGGCCTCACATACTTTATTACTCTGCCTTGTTTTTTAATGCTCTTGGGCGCTAATTTTTATGATTTGGGGGGTACAAGTTGACCCTAAGGAACAGGAATTATACTTAGGTTATTCTCTGTACAAGTGCTTTTTCAGCATAGCTTCTCAATTATACTATTCTGGTAGCACTTATTTTTGAACCGTTATATTTTGATTTTTCTGCCTTTGCTTTTCTCCCCTGCTGCATTATAAATACCTCTGTAATATAAAGGCCTGCCATCTTTGTTACCTCTACCTCTGCCCAATGATTACTAAAATAAACTGAAGATAGGAGATTCTCAGTGAGACTCAATGAATGTAAAACAACAATTTAAAGGGGAAAAATGGCTTGAGTGGATTTTTCTAAAAGTCCGTAAGATTCTCATTTATTTATTCCACAAATACTTACGGGCTAGCACCTTCTCAAACTTAGGGCTAAGATCTAAGGACTGATGTAAATAGACCCCACATACCCCAGTACATATTACTTCAGAGCTTTGCAAGCAATTTTAGATGTCTTCCAGAAAAACACTTCTGTATGTAACCTGTATAGTGGCCCTAACACTCCCTAGCATGACAAATGTTCTCTTGTGTTTGAAAATAATGACAATGAAAATACACTGTTCTGATGAAATATATAGCAAAAAAAGGATATAGTACAAAAAAATTCACATTTGGTATGTTGTGGAAATGACAGTGATTTAGCTTCTAATAGGCAGTAATTTAACTTCTACGTGCTTGTATGATACTTAAAAATGCAGTGTATAAGACCTTTATCTGTAGTATGTTCGATTTAGGTCTTAGTCACAAATATTCTGATATTGAAGTCTGTGAATTTAACCACCATTACACTTTTAATTTTCCAGATTTCCTGTTCATTCAAAGAGGTTAGAATCTGGGTACAATTTTGAGAAGCAAGGGAGAGATATGCTATAGTGCCTAGTATGTGCTTTTGGTGAAGTGTGTGTGTGTGTGTGTGTGTGTGTGTGTGTGTGTGTGTGTGGTGGGTGGGGGTTAATAATTTCCTTTAGAAGAAAACCAGGCTAGACCCAAGGAGTTGGTGATAATGACGTCCCAAATGTCCCACTCTTCCCAGATGCCATTCAGGTACACCACCACCCCTGAGTATATCCCGTCACGTTCTGCAGATTGCTACAACATCCCACAGAAACTCACAAAACTGTGAGTGAATGTCTAATATGATAGTGAGTGCTGTTCATTCAAAAATCTGAAGGTCAGACAGGAGTGGGCCAAATGCAGGATCCAGAGTCAGAAACCAAAATATCCAAAAGTCATAGTGTGTCTCCTTGCTTCTACTAAACTTCCGTCAAAAAAAAGTGATCTGGCTTTCCTGGTGAGGCGATGTGTATAGAACTGTATGGTGGCACCATTATATATCCAAGGAAAACAAAGAGTATGGCTTAGTTCACACCCAGTACTATGGTAGGGTCTTAAGGAGGTCATTAAGGAAACAGTGTGCCCTGGTTCACACCCTGTACTAAGGTGGTGTGTTAGGCCAGGTTGACTAGAGAAACAAGGTGGTGTGTTAGGCCAGATTGACCAAAACAAATCCAGAAACACTCATATATGTGTAAGAAAAAGCTTTAGATCATGAAGTAATTGTATGTCAGGAAAACATCCCAGCCCAGTCAAACTCAAGTCCATAAGTCAGATAACAGTCCTTAAGTCCCTCTTCAGACTCACCCAGTCACAAGCAATGGTACATAAAGCAGGAATATTACAGGCCGGTGGATGCAAAGTCCTGTGGATCCACTGGCGGTAGACGCATCTCCAGGTCACTGGCAGCAACCAGGGTTCACCAGCAGGAGGGTGAAGGGAGAGAGAAAGGGGAGATTCCTAGGGCCTTCTTTATGAGAAGGCTATGCCCACGCGGAGGCACCATCAGACTGTGACCTGATTGAATGGTTTAATACCACCCCTACACTTTTATATATCTTTAAGATGACATTCTACTACCACAGGTGGGGTCTTAAAGATATCCACACAGGAGCTGTGATGGCACAGTGATTACATAGTTCAAAACTACCAGCCACTCCTTGGGAAAAAGGCAGGGCTTTCTACTCCCATAAGCAGTCACAGTCTCAGAAACTCACAGGATAGTTCTATCTGACTATAACTCAGCATATACAGGAAAGTAAGTAGCAGTTATGGGACTGAGCACCCATGGATATTAGTACCAATGGTACTAATAACTGAATGCATTGGAAAAATAATTTCTAAAACGTATGTTACTCCTTCTATATTCAAGCATTTTATTTTATTTCAAATGAGCAGAAGGATGTAAAAAACTACTAAATTGTAGGCAAAATGGGCTATGTTGTCTTATGTTCATTTTAAATCAGAGAGCACAAATCAGGTTTTACTTTCCTAAAAAAATAAATAAATAGTACCAGGATCATTTTTAGAAACAGATATCAGTAGGGGAAGTAGCATAGACTAGTGAATGATTTCTATCGCAGAGACATAGTTTGCGTTGCTATCTGCCATTATTCCATTTTGACTTCAGCGATGTTAGTCTGGGTCTCAATTTTATTATTTGTTGAATTGGAGATAATATCTGTCTTATAGTTTAGTGAAAAATTAATAACAAGATATTATAAATTTCATTGAAAGTGCCAAGTATGTGTCAGATTTTTATTTTCACTACACTCACTCATTTATTATCTGAATGATAGATTCCAAATCAGTGTTATGCAATACTCGAGGGCTGTACCCTATCTTTGGCTGGTATCACCCCACCCCTACCTCTGTCACTCATTGCCCATTGGGCACCCCTGGCATATATCTGAATCCTTGTATGAGGCAGGCGGGACCCCTTCCCCATCAGCGCAGAGTCCATCAGGTCCAGGGTGATGATGGTGATCATTGACTATTGCTGCTTGTCTTCTATTCCCCCTAGTCCTATAGCTCTTTCCTGCTTCCCTTTTCACTCCTCCTGTTCCCCCTCTATTGACTTCCTTGGATTCTCACCTGACCTCCCGTTGTCCCCACCCATAACCTCACATTTTCCCACCATTTCCCCCCACCCTGCATGGCCAGACCAAGACATTGCTGAAGAAAGACAATATCCCACAATTGGTCAGCCGCCATCTCTCACATCCTCCAGGATGTAATTCAGGGTAGCACACAGAGGGCAACCTAGCTCCAACAGTGGCCCCATGAGGGACTAAAACCAAATTGTCAAGCTGAGATACTGCCAGAAACTTTCTTTGAGGTTATTGCAAATACAAAATTTCAGATAAGGAGATAGATAGTCAATAAGTGAAGGGTAAGTATAAGTGTGTTCTTATTACATAGATTAGTGTAAATAGAAAGGGGTGGGAGAGAAAGCATTAAAAATCAAGTTAACTGGTCTCATCTCATATTTCAAAGGCACAAGTTTAAATCTGATGAGCGCAGTTGCTTGGCAACTTTTCTGAATGATAGTATTTCCTATCAGCTTTCTCTTTCTCCATTCTCAGACTCCTTGCTCTTGCTTTTCCATTTCTATGTACAGAAATCTGCTAAAAGGTAGACAGAGTTGGCTGAGTCTATGTGGTGTGAGTGGTCATATTTCATTAAAAATTGGGGAAAACATTTTACAATAATCTAGCACAACAGTATTATTTTGAAGATTGGAATCTAGACTTTTTCTGGTTGGTTGAAAACCCAACCCCTACAGAAAGGTATATGAATGAATGTAAAATTGGTTTTTGGAAATGTTATTTTGTATACAGTGGATATTCTAGAGAAATAATTTCTGTAACATTGTTCCTGAACATTTTCCACTCTAATAACCAAGACAAAAGATAACCCAATATTGTGTCCTTTTAGCCACCAGAATAGGAAATGACAAAATAAACCTACAGCAGCCAGGTGCCATGGGCAATGAATGATTCTGCAAACTAATAATCTTCATTAGTGAGAGACTGAGATTGTCTATAGGTTCCAGTGTATCATCATTATAAACTTTCCTATTTTACAAATTCATTCTAAGAACTTTGCTATAGCGTTTGAACACAAATTATAATTAGCATTTAAACTAGTTCTTCAATGATAAAATACATTAAATAAATTCACACT